CACCACAAAGGCTCTAACTTCACATTCTGAGTCATTTGTTGTGTCTTCAATCGGTGCAATTGAAGCCGTGGCAAACCGAAAGCCAGATTATGAGAACAAGTAGTAGCAAGATCCCTAGAACCACAAGTTTTATCTTCATGTTCTGGTACCACAATTTCCTTCTCACTTGTGTCCCTTGTTTCTTGTACTCTTGCGCCTAAAAAGGTACAAAAAACACAGATTAAAGTGACCATTTCAGAGAAGATTAGGTACAAAAAGGTCAACGTTTCTTTTTACCTGAGAGCGTAGATTCTCGGTCTTGTCAGTAAGAACCGTTAGATTTTCCCCTCTATCGATTGCCTGAGAATAAGATCAAGAAATCACTAATAATGGACATGCACAAGCATATATGAATAGTGATTTGTCTCCACTTTAAGTTAAAGGGAACATACGTAATGGCTTTTTTCGCAGAGACATCATTGTAAAAGGTAAAGCAAAGGAGAATGATTGTTTGTCTAAGTGTGCAGAAACACATAAAAGAGAATGCGATAAAAACTATGAGATTCAATGATGAAGCATTACCTTGTCAATATTCTCCAACATTATACTTTTAACTTCTGAAACTTGAGCCTTGACTTTTATTAGTTTTTCAATCTCCTCTGCATGGTCAACAATATACTTCATGTGTTCTTTCATGACCGGCCTGCAATTTTCGTCAAGGATATATAATCTCTAACTTGTATTCATTATATATCGTCGAATTTCTTCACCAGATTTTTTTAAAACTTAATTACCCGAACTCCTTGTTCAGACTTTTGGCGATAGCTGTACTTGCTTTTCCACCTCCATATCTCTTCTTGAAATCAGCTTTCACACGCTCCAGAAACGCAATCGAGATTTGCTTGCTAAGGGCGTCTTTCGCCACAACACAATATGCTGAATAACGGAAAACAAAGATACATGTCAATTTCACAAGACAAAGCATAGTCTGAGTATAACCCAAACATAGTATTGGAAGAATTAGTCTTTTCATAACATTGCTAACTACACGAAGCATTAATCGGTTTCTATTTGTATAACACAGACATAGATCAAAGGACACTGCTCATAAAAGCCAATGATTTATTGCTGTTAAACAGGAGAGAAGTAACAACAAGTACATTCGACTTGTATAATAATGCTAAATGACCACTGTCTACCAACTTTCAGACCAGTATACAATGCAAAATAGGGAGATTCCAATTCAGGGTACAACACTGTTTAGTCAAATCCTGTCTCATGCATGCCAAAGATGGAAACTTTTCATAGAGTGGAACACCATCCACATGATATATACCCTTGGTTAGATTTCAATGATCTTATCTTCCAAGCTAAACTTAAAACATATGTGTGTAGTTCCATTTCCAAAATCATAACTTGCTCCACTAGAAAGATTGGCACAAACATCTCAAATCTGCATTAAGCTCATCAAAAAAAGGAATCAACTTTCTTCAGTTTAAGATCAATCTCTCGTGACCCAACACACAAAACACTGTTAAATCGCCAAGTAAGATTATAACCCAATCTACAACGATACTTAAACACACTAAGATTCAGATTATTCACATCAGCTAATCCTAAGCTAGATCCATCAAAAACCTTACTAATACTGGATTCAAACAAACTTAACAACACACTTTCTGAGACTTTCTTCATTTCCGGAGAAAATTA